TAAAAACCGCCTAAAAACCCCCTAAAAACCCCCTAAAAACCCCCTAAAAACCCCCTAAAAACCCCCTAAAAACCCCCTAAAAACCCCCTAAAAACCCCCTAAAAACCCCCTAAAAACCCCCTAAAAACCCCCTAAACCCCGAAGTCCGAGGCGGGCCTCTCATCCTGGATCAGCTCCCACGGTTTTGGGATGGCTTTCACCTGGGTGTTGGTGGGGGGCTTGGGATGTTCCCCCTTATACTTGCAGTCCGTAATATAGGATTATGGTACCCCTACTAGGTTTAGGGTTTAGGGTTTAGGATGTATTAGGGTTTAGGGTTTACGCTTGGGATGTTCCCGCTTATACTAGCAGTCCATAGGGATTTTGGTACACGATTATCATCCCTACTAAGGACTGTTAGGATAAGGGGGAACATCCCAAGTGGGGGCTGTTTGGGGGAATTAGGCGAACACTTGACATGGTTTAGGGTTCCGGGGTTCGCGTTTAGGGTTATTTAGGGCCCTAGGTTTCAGGGTTTAGGGCCTAGGGTTCAGGGCCTAGTGTTTGGGGTTTAGGGTTTAGGGTTTAGGGTTTAGGGTTTAGGGTGTAGGTTTAGAGCTTTAGCTTTCAGGGTTCAGGGTTTGAGGGCTCAGGGTTGGCAGGGGCTCGCGACCTTCGCAACCTTGAAGTCCTCGTTCGGGAGGTTTAGGAGTTTAGGGTTTTAGGGTTTAGGGATTTAGCCTTCAAGGTTATAGGGTTTAGGTTAGGATGTTGGGGTTTGTTTTTTGGAGCTTCGGGGTTAGTCCTTCGGGGCCATCATCGTTAGAACTCGTTCCTGGACGTGCTGAATTTTATGTGGTTCTTCAGGGAGGTTTCAGGGGGGGTAGATACCTAGGGAAGCCTAGGGAGCCTTAGGGAGTATTAGGGAACCTTGGGCTACATACCCCCCCCCTCAACCCCCCCTCCCTTAAGAACCCTATGAGAATTTATCTGCCCCGGGCTTCCCCGAACTCGTACGGCATGCCGCAGATCACGACCGAATCGGGGTCTCAGGCTTAAGGTTTGCAGTTCAGGGCACAAGGCTTCTGTTGGCTCCAGGGTTTAGGGTTTAGGGTTTAGGGTTTAGGGTTTAGGGTTTAGGGTTTAGGGTTTAGGGTTTAGGGCTTAGGACGAATGTGCGGAGGTATGCGTGCTGAGCGGCTACCTAGCAGGCGAAGCAGTGGCGATGTCACAACTAATCCAAACTTTACCCTGACACCTGATTCCTCAACCCTAGCTTGAACCCTGAGGGACATAAACGCTCTCCGGCCCTGTTAAAGGTGGATTTGGCAGTTGATCAAAACAGCGCTGCTCCCACGCAAGATTCCCCTAAACCCTGCTGGCAAAGGCTCCACCCCCCCCCCCCCCCCCCCCCCCCCCCAAAAAAAATAAAAAAAAAAAAAAAAAAATCGAGCCAACCCTAGAAGCCCTGAACCACTAAGCCCTAAACCCTAAACCCGAAACCCTGGAGCGTCCCACTGCTTCCTAAACTCCCTAAACCCCTAAGCCCCTATTCTCGGAAGCTTCGTGGTTGTAGGTGTTGAATAGGCTTTAGGGGCTTAGGGGTTTTAGGACTACGGGCTTAGGGCTTAGGAGATTAGGGGTCAACTGGCCTGCCTGTTCAATCCGTAAGGACGTTAAGCTCGAAGGAGATTCGGCCTGACCCTTGAACCTTTAACCCCCAAAACCCCAAACCTCTAGACCCTACCGCTAAACCTCTAAAAGACCCTAAGCCTAAACCCAACACCCCCTAGAACCACTGGCCCCGGAACCCCTGAACCCCCAAAGTTCTGGGGTCCGGTACTCCAGACAAGCCCTCCCACCGCACCTGGGTGGCGTTTGGGTGTAAGATTTCTTTGGTAGGGTTTGGCTTAGGGCTTAGGGCTTCAGGGGTTGGGCGCTTAGGGTTTCGGGTTTAGGGTTAGGAGTTCGAGCTCGGCGAAACCGAAGGGGTCCGCGGTGTGTGGTGCTTCGGGCTTAGAGCGCAGGCTGGCCGAGCATTTTCGGACATCTCCTTGAGTCCTGGGGCTGGGGCTTCAAGGCTTAAGACATCTTCATACTGATACACCCTAAACGCCCAACAAAAATAGAAGCCCGTGAACGCCACCGAACGCTAGACCCCAAAATTATGAAGATTTGGCTCTGGCAATCGGGTCCTAGGGGAGGGTTTAGAGTTTAGGGCGTAGGGTTTTGGGGTTTGGGAATCAGGGTTTCCCTAAACCCTTAAACACTAATTGGGTTTTGTTGTTTGGGTTTAGGCTACAAAGCTTCCCCAAAATCCACCGGTACGAGTACGTAGAGATTCGAACTGAGGATGCGCTCAGCGCCCTTCACTGTTTAGGGTTTAGGGTTTAGGGTTTTGGAGGTTTGGGGTTTAGGGTTTAGGGTGTTAGGGTTTAGGGTTTCGGGCTTAGGTCTTAGAGCTTAGGGCCTGAAAAGCTCGAAGGAGCCTGCCCTGTCTCTGTCTCTGTTGCGATCATCCACTTCGGCTGTCAAGCCTGTTTCCACTGAGTACACCTATATTCTAAGAATAACTCACCCTAAACCCTAAACCCTAAACCCTAAACCCTAAACCCTAAACCCCTTTACCTATGAAAGTATCATATACAGGGAGTCTAAGGGAGGATGTTACCACGCCCCTTAGTTTCTTTTAAGGGGCATGCCCTAGGGGGTATGTTGAACATTTCTTCGATATATGAAGACCACCCTAAACCCTAAAGCCTAAACCCTAAACCCTAAACCCTAAACCCTAAACCCTAAACTCTAAACCCTGGCAGGGCTTCGATGCTTGAGTGCTTTAGGGCTTAGGAGCTTGGGCCTTTGGGGGCTTAGGAGCTTCTAGGGTATGCTGGCCCTGTACTCCCCAACACCCCAGAAGATCATGGGTTGAGGGTTTGGGGTTTAAGGTTTTGGGTCGAGGGTCGAGGGTCGAGGGTCGAGGGTCGAGGGTTGAGGGTTGAGGGTTGAGGGTTGAGGGTTTAGATGTTAGGAGTTAAGGTTTAGGGTTTTGGGGTTTGGGTTGTTAGGGTTTAGGGTTTAGGGTTTAGAGAACCAGGAACGCCCAGTCCAGGCGGCCCCCAAGAACGGCAGCAGGCGCTCAACAACCCCGCGCTGGCCGCGCCTCAGCAAGGCGTCTCTTCGCGTGTTGCTGGTTGGGGTGTTGGGTTTGAAGGGTTTGAAGGGTTTAGGGTATAGGGTTTAGGGTTTAGGGTTTGAAGGGTTGAAGGGTTTAGGGTTTAGGGTTTCGGGTTAGGGTTTAGAAACACCTTAACAACCCTGCAAAAACCACAACATCTTAGATCCTTAAGACCCTACCTCTAAACTTTAACTCTTTAACACCATGGAACCCACGAGCCCTGACCAAATCCCAAGACCCTTTATGATACTTGACCCTAAACTGAAAGGCGCTTTAAAGCCTTTGAAAATATTTATGAATATGTTCCCTTAAAAGGGAAAGAAGGGAAATTTAAAATTATCCCGAAACACCACCCAGTAAAGGCCCAAAACACAAAACCAAGTTCCGTCAACCCCCTACGCACTCAGACCTATAACCCTCAGGCCCTTAAACCCCAAAGGCCTAGAATTCCAAAACGCGTGAACCCTGAAGCCCTTACATCCCGAAAGCCCTCAAACCACCAAACCCACTTTGGCCGCGTAACATCTGAATTCCAAAGTCCTAACCTCGAAAACCCCTAAACCCAACAACCCCAACAACCCTAACCCTATCTTGGGGCTTTTTTGGGGGGCTGGCGTTTGAGGGCGGGGTTGGGGGTTTGGGGAAGATTCAGCGCTTCGAGGGTTTAGGGTTTAGGGTTGTCCTGATGGTAGGATTTAGGATTTAAATCTGGGATTTAGGGTTGGAGCGATTGGGGGTTTGGGGGCATATGGCCTGAGTGTATATTAAAGTCTGGTGCTTTTGTGGGAAGTACCCTAAACCCTGAACCCTAAAAGCTAAACCCTAAACCCCCTCATGGCCGAACCTTCTTCCAAGTCCCTCAAAGCGCGCGGAGCTCAAAAAACCGAAGCCCCAGGTAAGCCCCTAAACCCTAAACCCTAAACCGCCTAAACCGCCTAAACCGCCTAAACCGCCTAAACCGCCTAAACCGCCTAAACCGCCTAAACCGCCTAAACCGCCTAAACCGCCTAAACCGCCTAAACCGCCTAAACCGCCTAAACCGCCTAAACCGCCTAAACCGCCTAAACCGCCTAAACCCTAAACCCTAAACCCTAACCCCCCCCCTTGAACCCCCCTTCCTTAAGAGCCCTATAAGAGGCGGTCTCTCTCTCTTTTTGCTCGAATCGATGCCGGTACGGAGGTCCACCCTCCGTCTAAACACATCCCTCGCGACTTTAGGGTCTAGGGTTTGGGGTTTAGGGTTTAAGGTTTTAGGTTTAGGGTTTAGGGTTTAGTGTTTAGGGTTTAGGTGTAGCAAACCCAAAAACCGAAACCACATGGGCGAAGAGTTAATGCCATAATGCTCAACCCCGCAAGTGTCTGAAGATGCGCAGGGTTTAGAGTTTAGGGTTGAGGGTTTAGGGTTAGGGTTTAGGGTTTAGGGTTTAGGGGTTAGGGTTTAGGGTTTAGGGTTTAGGGTTTAGGGTTTAGGGTTTAGGGTTTAGGGTTTTGGGTTTAGGGTTGTACATGCTTGAGTGCTATGTCCTTCGACTGGGTCTTTTGGGCTTAGGTTGATATTCTAATCCGGAAGGGACAAACCTTTTGCGGGTGTTGGCTTAAGGTTTAGGGATTAAGGTGTTGGACCTAAGATTCTAGGGATAGGGTTGATTCGGCGTCACTGTAGGCTTACTGAAGCCTCATGAGTAGCCACAGGCGTGCAAGGGTTGCAACTACTCTTCTTGCGGTGCAAGTCATCCCTCCCTGAAAGCCCTACTTGTACTTTAACCCTCAACCCTAAACCCTAAACCCTGAACCCGAAACCCTAAACCCTAGATTTTTTGGCATCCTCATAAACCCCCCTAAACCCTCAGCTTGCAACCCAGCTCTGCTCGTGGCTCTCTCCCTTCTCACCGGGCGTTTCGGCATCCTGCTGCTTGGGTTTCGGGTTTAGGGTTTAGGGTTGAGGGTTGAGGGTTGAGGGTTGAGGGCTGAGGGCTGAGGGTTGAGGGTTCAGGGCTTAGGGTTTAGGGTTTAGGGTTTCGGGTTTGGGGTTTGGGGTTTGGGGTGTAGGGTTTAGACATTTAGGGTTTAGGGTTTAGGGTTTAGGGACACTGGCGCGTCGAAGCTGTGCATGCAAAAAGCGTCGTAACATGCGAATGGCAGCTATGGCCCGATTGTGGAGGTCCTTAATTAATCCCTTCCCCCTACTATTAAACCCCCCCCCACCCCTAATAGTAGATACCCCCAGTATAGTTATATTTGAGTATATGCAGGGGGGATTTAACGATTTAATATCCGGGGGTAGGGGGGGGGGGTTAATATTAGGGGAGAGAGAGGGGGGGGGGGGGGGGGGGGATTATCGCATTTCTCTCCCATCCCACGCCGTCTAAGGCGGCGAAGCCGCCCTAGCCCATCATTCTTCTGGCTTCGGAGCTGTTGGGGTTAAAGCTGTAGGGTTTAGGGTTTTGAGGTTCAGGGTTTAGGGTTATATATGGTTTACGTTGTAGGGTTTAGGGGTATAGTGTTCAAGGGTTAGGGCCCCTCATCCCTAAAGTCTAAGCCCTAAACCCTAAACCCTAAACCCGAAAAACGCTCCGGGGACCTCACACTCCACCCAAACAACCTTCTAGCCTCTACACCAAAACCCTAAGCCCTGATCCCTGAAAAATAGCACTAAACCTCACTAAACCCGGAAGACCCTAAACCCCCAAACCCCCAAAAACCCCTACCCTAAAAGCCCAAGCCCGAACCTCTGCACCCGAAAACCCGAAGCCCTAAACCCCTGAACCCCCAAACCCTAAACCCGCAGGTTGGGGGTTTATAGGGCCCCCCCCCCTTCCCCTCACCCTAAACCCTAAACCCTAAACCCTAAACCCTAAACCCTAAACCCTAAACACCCAAGAAACACAGCACCTCAAGCGAGAGCAGGATCGTCTCGTTGTGCACCGCCCCGAGCCCTGCAAGGGTTTGGGGGTTTAGGGTTTAGGGTCTAGGGTCTAGGGTCTAGGGTTTAGGGTTTAGGGTTTAGGGTTTAGGGTTTAGGGGTTTGCGGGTTTGCGGGTTTAGGGTTTTGGGTTCTGGGTTTAGGGTTTAGGTGTTTAGGGTTTGGGGTTTAGGTGTTTGGGGGCTTTAGGGCTCAGGGCTTAGGAGTTTCGGGCTCAATGTGTGTGGGGTTCAGGCTTGTGGGCTTGGTGATTGCGTCAGGGCGCCAGGGCTAAGGTGACCTCACGCGTAGCCCTGATTCTACCCCTGAGCCTGTAGACCCTAAACCCTAAACCCCAAACCCTAAACCCCCTAAACCCCCAAACCCCTCACGGTTTTGGACAGGGGGTACGAGGTGGGAGGTTAAGGGCTTCCAAGCCCACTTTCCGGCAGTGGCGGTCTGGATTTAGGGTTTAGGGCTTCGAGACTTGAAGATAAGGGGGTTCCGAAGTCAGGGGTGCCTTATTGGGGTCCTTCTTATAAGGGAATCCTACTCTTTGGGGCCAGATTAGGGGTCTAAACCTCCATTCAAGGTTGATAGGGTGCAGGGGCTGGCGGGGTTGACCCCGATACAACAACACCCTAAGCCGGGGATTCGGTCGTTTGGGTCCCAGGTTTGGGTCGCGGCTTAGGGTGAAGAGCCTGGCGATTCCTGAAAGGGCTTAGGCTTTAGGGCTTAGGGCTCCCCTACAAGCCCCCAAAGTTCTAGAAAGACCTCCTGGGGCATCCCAGAGCCTTGATGAGATAGGGGTCTGGGTTTGGGGTTTTGGGATTTGGGGTTTAGGGTTTAGGGTTTGGGGTTTCGGGTTTTGGGGTTTGGGGTTTGGGGTTTGGGGTTTGGTGGTTAGGGTTTTTTCGGGTTTGGGGTTCGCACAATTCCCTTCAGGCGCCTTTGGTGATGGGAAGGCCCTTGCCCAGGAGTTCCTGGCGACCGCAGGCGTGCGAAGGTGGGGGCTTAACGTTTGGGGTTTAGAGTTTAGGGATTAGGGTTTAGGGATTTTAGGGTTCGGTGCTTCAAGGGGCTTTAGACATTCTAGGGATTTTGGGGTTTCGGGATATAGTATCCAGCTCCATAGTTAAACCTTAAGGTAACAGCAAGGGATCTAAGTATGGCCAGAATCTGCCCTTAGATCAGCTCTCGACCCGAAACCTTACACCCTAAACCCTAAACGTAGGGCGTTAGGGCTAGAAGGGGCTTTAGGAGTTGAAGGGATTTTGGATTCAGGGCGTCAGGCCCTGGAGTTCTCGGGGCCTTGAGGTAAGCAGGGGTGTTGGAGGGGAACCCTAAACCCCAGCACTCCGGGTTTAGGGTTTTTTAGGGTTTAGGGTTTAGGGTTTAGGGTTTAGGGTTTAGGGTTTAGGGTTTAGGGGTTTAGGGGTTTAGGGTTTAGGGTTTAGGGTTTAGGGTTTAGGGTTTAGGGTTTAGGGTCTATAGGGCTAGGGTTCAAGGCGCAGGGAGTGGGACCTTCTTGGGGACCAGGCCTGCAGGCTGATGCGCCCGAGGAGAACCCCGTGCCCGGTGACGTAGGCGCATTCCTCCAGGCTGCGGAGGTCGGGGTTATGAGGGTTTTAGGGTTTTAGGGTTTTAGGGTTTAGGGTTTAGGGTTTAGGGTTTTAGGGATTTAGGGTTTTAGGGTTTTAGGGTTTTTGGGTTTTCGGGTTGTTGGGTTTTAGGGTTTTAGGGTTTAGGGTTTAGGGTTAAAGGGGTATAGGGTTATAGGGTGATAGGTTATGGGGTTATGGGGTTATAGGGTTTCGGGTTTTCGGGCCTTGCCATTGGCGTGAAGCCAGCTTCCTCGACGTCGCTGTAGTAGAGGCTTTTGCGGACGCTGGTGTTGTGTCAGGCATCGGCCCTCCAGTGGGCCAGGAGCCCTGGGTGGCCAAGAGCAGCTGTTCTGACGCTCTTGTGTCCGTCATTGATGCATGCACCCGATAGCTGATCTAGGAACCGAAGCCAGTTCGGTAGGTCCACGAACTTAGGGTTTAGGGTTTAGGGTTTAGGGTTTAGGGTTTAGGGTTTAGGGTTTAGGGTTTAGGGTTTAGGGTTTAGGGTTTAGGGCTTGAACAGTCTAGCGCAGGCAGTGGATCCTTCGACGTACCTCTTGGCCTCGACCTTCGTGGACGCATGCCAGTGGAATTGGCCTTGGCCTTTCGCCAGAAGATTACCGAGGCGACGCTTTAGGGATTTAGGGTTGAGGGTTTAGGGATTTAGGGTTTCCGGTTTAGGGACTTAGGGTTTAGGCTTTAGGGATTTCGGGATATCGGGATTTAGGGTTTAGGGATTTAGGGTTAAGGGTTTAGGCTTTAGGGATTTCGGGATATCGGGATTTAGGGTTTAGGGATTTAGGGTTTAGGGTTTAGGGTTTTAGGGTTTAGGATTTTAGGGTTTAGGATTTTAGGGTTTAGGATTTAGGGTTTGGGGTTTGGGGTATGGGGTCGGGTCTGGGGTTTCGGGTGTAGGGTTTAGGGGTGTAGGGGTGTAGGGGTGTAGGCGTGCAGGGGGGGTGTAGGGGTGTAGGGGTGTAGGGGTGTATGGGTGTAGGGGTGTAGGGGTGTAGGGGGTTCGGGTTTGGGGAGCTTAGGGTGTGGGAGGTCCAGGACTGCCACAAAGTGTGGCGTGTTTTGATGGCTATTTGGGCGAGGTTGATGCGGGGTTTAAGGTGCATCGGCTTGGAGATCACCCCTTGGAGCCCTGTTAGGGTTTAGGGCTTAGGGCTTCGGGTTTAGGGTTTAGGGTTTAGGGTTTAGGGTTTAGGGCTTAGGGCTTAGGGTTTAGGGTTTAGGGTTTAGGGCTTAGGGCTTAGGCCTTAGGGTTTAGGGTTTAGGGTTTGAGGTTTAGGGTTTAGGGTTTAGGGTTTAGGGTTTAGGGTGTAGGGTTTAGGGCAACCGCACCGGCTCGCTGAGGCGGCTTAGGCCCTTGCAAGTCTTCAGGGCTTCTAAGCACTTTGGGGTTTCAGCTCTAACAACAAACCCTAAACCCTACACCCTAAACCCTAAACCCTAAACCCTAAACCCTAAACCCAAAAAAACGGAGGGTTTTGGTGCTGAGGAACTCCGACTCTCCCCCCAAGTCGGACACTTGGACACGCGAAGCAGAGAGGTCCTTCTTCATCACCTGGCGACGTGCCAACGTCTGCTTTGGGGCTTTTGGGGTTTCGGGCTTTGGGGTCTAAACCCTAAACCCGAAACCCTAAACCCTAAACCCTAAGGCCTAAGGCTCAAGGGTTTTGAGGGTGGAGGGCTGAGAGTTGAGGGTTTAGGGCTGAAGTGCCCGGGGCTTTAGGGATTACGGTTTAAGATTTAGGGTTTAGGGTTTAGGGTTTAGGGTTGAGGGTTCAGGGTTGAGGGTTTAGGGTTGAGGGTTTAGGGTTTAGGGTTTAGGGTTTAAGGTTTAGGGTTTAGGGTTTAGGGTTTAGGGTTTAGGGCTGAGGGTTTAGGGTTTAGGGTTTAGGGTTTAGGGTTTAGGGTTTAGGGTTTAGGGTTTAGGGTTTAGGGTTTAGGGTTTAGGACTCAGGGTTCAAGGCTTATGCTCAAAGACTTCAGCGGAGCCCTAGTTTCTGCGGGGCTTCGAACCTCCTTTTGATGAGAGGCTCCCTAAACCCTAAACCCTAAACCCTAAACCCTAAACCGGGGGCAAGAATCGGCCCTCTTTTTGGCGCATTCTCGCGTGCTAGCGGGACATGAATATCCATTCGCTAGCCGATTTGGCCATGACTTGGAACCCAGGCCTATACTTGGAGGTTCTAGGTACTTATTTCCCAATGATAACTGTACTTATAACCCAAATTATAACCACATTGGGGCACCTAAGGGGCTGATAAGTGGGTATAAATATAAAAATCTAATGTCATATTTCTAATATAGTATATAGTATATAATATTTAATATGTAAGAACAGGTCTACTTGGTGAATAAGTACCATGAACCTCGATAGCGAAACTTGACCGTGCAGTGGGACTCCTCTCAGACAAGGCCCTGACCCTTCTGCATCCTCGGCTCGCTGTTAGGCGGTTTAGGGTTTAGGGTTTAGGGTTTAGGGTCTAGGGTTTAGGGTTTAGGGTTCAGGGTTTAGGGTTTAGGGTTTAGGGTTTAGGGTTTAGGGTTTAGGGTTTAGGTTTTAGGGTTTAGGGTTTAGGGTTTAGGGTTTAGGGTTTAGGGTTTAGGGTTTAGGTTAGGGTTTAGGGTTTAGGGTTTAGGGTTTAGGGTTTAGGGTTTAGGTGTTTAGGGGTTTAGGGGTTTAGGGTTTAGGGTTTAGGGTTTAGGGTTTAGGGTTTAGGGTTTAGGGTTTAGGGTTTAGGGTTTAGGGTTTAGGGTTTAGGGTTTAGGGTTAGGGCTAGCCCAGGAAACTCTTTGTGAAGAATACAAGCAGGAAACCGCGTACCAAAAGCCCTCCCCAACTAAGCCTCAAACCCTCAAAGAAGCTTGAAACCCTAAAAAAAAACTTCAAGACAAAAACAAAAAACCCTAAACAAACCCTAAACCCCAACGCCTAGAAACCCTACTCCAGAGCCCAGATTCTCGGCGTTCATGACCTTCCAGACCTCCCCCCAGGACTCCTTTCACGGGACTTTCCCTTGGACTGCCTAAGGTTGTTCCCTTGGGTCTGGAATCGAGTTTTAACCCTAAACCCTAAACCCTAAACCCTAAACCCTAAACCCTAAGCCCTAAACCCTAAACCCTAAACCCTAAACCCTAGGGGAAGATAAGGGCCGCGCTTGGAGTCTATCACTTTGTACCCCCCAGTAACCATCTCGTAATAAGGGTGCCCTTTTTGAGGGTTTAGGGTTTAGGGTTTAGGGTTTAGGGTTTAGGGTTTAGGGTTTAGGGTTTAGGGTTTAGGGTTTAGGGTTTAGGGTTTAGGGTTTAGGGACTTGATGAGGGAATCCAGAACCGAAGGCAAGGGCGAAAGGGCACCACTGGGAATTACCAAGATAGAGGGCTTCGGGTTTAGGGACTTAGGGTTTGGGGCTTAGTGTTTAGGGTGCAGGGTTTAGGGTTTAGGGTTTAGGGTTTAGGGTTTAGGGTTTAGGGTTTCTCCTTCGTCTCATCGGTCCAGAGACCCTTGGGCTCCAGCACCTACAACACACACCAGGGGGGGAGAGGGTTTAGGGTTTAGGGTTTAGGGTTTAGGGTTTAGGGTTTAGCGTTTAGGGTTTAGGGTTTAGGGTTTAGGGTTTAGGGTTTAGGGTTTAGGGTTTAGGGTTTAGGGTTTAGGGTTTTAGGTTTAGGCTTTTAGGTTTTGGGTTTTTGGGTTTTTGGGTTTTGGGTTTTTGGGTTTTGGGTTTTTGGGTTTTGGGTTTCGGGATTGGGATTTAGGTTTTTGGGTTTTGGGTTTTGGGGTTTTGGGTTTGGGTTTTGGGTTTGGGTTTTGGGTTTCGGGATTGGGGTTAAGGGTTTGGGTTTAGGGGTTTAGGGTTTTGGGTTTTGGGTTTTGATTGGGGCTTAAAGGTGTGGGTATAGGGGATTAGGGTTTTGGGCTAGGGTTCGGGGTTGGGGGTTTGGGGTTTGAGGTTTGGGGTTTGGGGCTTCAAGTTTATGTTTTAGGGTTCGGGGCTTGGGGTTTTTGGGTCAGGGTTCAGGGTTTAGGGCTTGGGGCTTTTCTGGGTTCACGGTTCAGGATTATTAGGGTTGGGGGTTTTAGGGGTTAGGGTTTTAGTCTTCAGGGCTTGGGGTTTAGGATTTAGGGTTTGTAGGGCTCAGGTTTATTTCAGGTTTCTTTAGGCCCCGGCACCTTCTCCAACACTTCCAGCAAAGTCTTGCCCGCTGCATCGTAGTGCTCCTCTGGGTTTGCTTCTCAAGGAACAACGTTAACATATCCTACTACAGAACGGCAACTCCTACATGCATTAGACTGTACATATACAGATATAATACTAATCATCACGATATCTAAATATACACATATGCACGTATAGATACTTATGCTTTATATATACAGGTACATAGATAGATCGATACATAGATAGACAGGTAGATAGATAGATATCTCGGCAACTTACATTGACCCAGTCCTTGGTGACACCGTGGAAGCGGTGCCTCTCGCCGAGGTAGTTGAGAACCGGAAGCAGCTTCTCAACGTCGTCCAGGCCAGCTACTGCCCTGCTCGGTTCGTCAGAGTAATCAGGGTTTAGGGTTTAGGGTTTAGGGTTTAGGGTTTAGGGTTTAGGGTTTAGGGTCTAGGGTTTAGGGCGTAGGGTGTAGGGTGTAGGGTGTAGGGTTTAGGGTTTAGGGATTGGGGTCCCCCAGTCCCCCAGTAACTCCTTTATGAGTGTACCTTTTTTCTTATAGGTTCCCCAGTAACTCCTCAATAAGGGTACCTTTTTCCGACTATTCAGTTTTAAGAAGGAACCCCTGAAAAGGGAATACTCCTTGATAGTACGGGTACCCTGCTTCTTACCGAGCCTGTCCACCGTGAGCGCGAACCCGGAGACGTGCTTGTTGAACTTCCTGGGGTTTAGGGTTTAGGGTTAAGGGTTAAGGGTTTAGGGTTTAGGGTTTAGGGTTGAGGGTTGAGGGTTTAGGGGTTTAGAGTTGAAGGTTTAGGGGAACCTCCTAAATCGAGCACAAGTTTTGAGCCCTTCTCAGATGGGTGGTGCTTGAGGGGGGGCGTAGCGGGTGGGGTGTGGGGGGCTTACGCACAAAAAGATGTGGACTCGTAGATAAAAACAAAACCTTAAACAATGAAAAACAGAGATTTTCAAAATATTTCCAAATGAGCCCCAGTTGCTTCATCTCCTCATCATTGAGGCGGCCGCCGAAGCTGAAGAGGTCTTTGGTTGACTGGTCCATCTCGAAGAGGGTATCAAAGATGACGGTGCCCACCGCCGTGAGCGTGTCCATCGAGGTGTCGGGGCAGACCTGGCGGGTTCCGAAAATAGTGGTACCCTTTTTGGGGGGATTTCTCTGATACGAGCTATAGTACTTTGGGGGTGTATTCGGGGTACCCTTATTTTTGGGAAGTGCCCACCTCTCTCCAAGAGCTTTGAACAAGGTCCTTGTTGAGCGCAGCCCTTGCTGTCCGTGGCGCCGAGGAGGGCGCAGCGCGGAATCCCGCGAAGGCCCTGGAACCAAGGCCAGCTGCACATAGGGCAGCGACGACCCATGCTGCGAAGCGACTGCGGCGCCGTGCCGGCACAAGGGACATGGCGAGGGAGGACGAGAGTCGGGGGTGCCAGTCTTGATAAGGTAGGGATGCTCTGATGCTCCCTGAACCGGTCCTGGGAAATGCCAACCGAAGTGCACAAGCTTCGGTATCACAGGATCATGGGTTTCCCTACTACCCCACTCTAGACCACCCCCCTGAATTCCCCCAATCGTTAAGGCTATTTAGGGATAGTTAAGGCTTAGCTAAGGTTAGGCGGGGAAACCAATGACAGTACCTCGAAACCAGCCACCCCCACCAGCCACCCCCACCAGCCCAAAAACCCTAAACCCGAAACCCTAAACCCTAAACCCTAATCCCTAAACCCGAAACCCTAAACCCTAAACCCTAAACCCTAAATCCTCCACCCGCAGGCCCGAAACCCACGGCCTTCAGCATCACGTAGAGTTCCTGGGCCGTGGCCAGAGGATCCACCGCCAACGGCACCGGATCGGCCAAGAGGCGATGGCCGCCTTGAGAGGAGCGAAGAGCTTTGGGGCGTTGGACTTGAGGGGATAGGGTTTAGGGTTTAGGGTTTGCTTAGGGCTTCTATAGGGCTTAGGGTTTAGGGTTTTGGGTTTTGGGTTTTGGGTTTTGGGGTTTTGGGGTTTTGGGGTTTTGGGTGTTAGGGTTTAGGGCCCTAAATCCTAAACCCTAAACTCCTAAAGGGGATAGGGTTTAGGGTTCAGGGTTTGCTTAGGGCTTAGGGTTTAGGGTTTAGGGCCCTAAATCCTAAACCCTAAAATCCTAAATCCTGAAACCCTAAACCCTAAAACCCGAAACTGGGGGTCCCCAGCGCCAAGCCCCCAGCCCCCCCGGCCCACCCAGGAAGCCTAGCCGGGGGGGCTGGGGGCTTGGCGCTGGCTTCGGCCCCCAAACCCCAAACCTCCCAAACCCTAAACCCTAAACCCTAAACCCTCAAGCCAATGTGTAAACTTGAACTTATTCCTTCCTTTTCTTGGAAGGCCACTTTTGCTGTGGTGCAAAGTTGCCGGCTTCTGTTTGTTGAGTTGTCGTCAGTTGCTTTGTGACTGCGTAGGCGAGGAGGTTTAAGTAAATCGAACAAAGAAGACTTTTGGCCGTTGTGCCTGCGCAGGGCAAGGAGGTTTAAGAAAATTGAACATTTCAGCACTTTGGAGCTGTTTGAAGCTTCTCAAGTCCTTTTCAAAGCCACGCGGTGCCTTTTGGGCTCTTTGCTGGCGGGCCTTGTGAAACCAATTTGGGCCTTCTGAGGCCAATTAATTTTGGCCTTCTGAAGCCAATTTTGACTTTCTGAAGCCAATTTTGGCCTTCTGAAGCCAAGTTTAGGCCTTCTGGAGTCAATTTGGAATTTTTGGCCTTCTGAAGCCAATTTTGTGCCTTCCAAAGCCAATTTGGGCCTGAAGCCAATTTTGGCCTTCTGAAGCCAATTTTGGGCCTTGTGAAGCCAATTTGGGCCTGAAACCAATTTGGGCCTGAAACCAATTTGGGCCGCTGAAGCCAATCTGGCCTTCTGAAGCCAATTTTGGGCCTTCCGAAGTCAATTTGGCCTAAGCCTTGGGCCTCTGAAGGCATTTTTGGCCTTATTTTGGGCTTTCTGAAGCCAATTTGGGCATCTGAAGACAATTTTTGCCTTCTGAAGCAAATTTTGAGCCTTCTGAAGCCAATGGGCCTTCTGAAGACAATTTGGCCTTCTGAAGCCTCTTTTGTGCCTTCTGAAGCCAATGCCTTCTGAAGCCAATTTGGAAGCCAATTTTGAGCCTTCTCAAGCCAATTTGGGCCTCTGAAGCCAATTTGGCCTCATTTTGGCCTTCTGACGCCAATTGGGCCTTCTGAAGCCAATTTTTTGCCTTCGGAAAGCCGAGTTTGGGCCAATGTGGGCATCTGAAACCAATTTTGGCCTTCTGAAGCCAATTTTGGGTCTTCCGATGCCAATTCGGGCCTCTGATTCGAAAAATCCAAAAAACGAAACTCCTCGAAACTCCTCGAAACTCCTCGAAACTTTCCCCGGACCTGAACCCTACCTGAACCCTTTATAAGTTCCCAGCGTTCTGAGCATGAACCCTATCAAAAATCCAAAAAAAAGCTCCTGGAAACTTTCCTCGAAACTTTCCTCGAAACTCCTCGAAACTTTCCCCGGACCTGAACCCTTAATAAGTTCAATAAACCCCAAACCCTAAACCCTAAACCCTAGACTTTGGGCTAGGCGTCGCAGCCTGAAACCGCTGACACCCCCCCAACTTGTCAGCCCCGAAGGGAACGGAAACCCCGAAGCCTCCAAATCTTAAAACTCCAAACCGTGGAAAAAAACAAGCTTGAACCCCCTAAAGCCCGGAAGCCTACGCTTGGGATGTTCCCCCAGAAACTAACAGCCCTTAATAGGGATTCTAGTACCCCTACTATTAAGGTTTGTGTAAGGAGGAACATCGCAAAACCTAAAGCCTTAAACCCAAGTCCCTAAATCCTAGGCGCCGGCAGGCTACAGCCTTCTTGATGAAGCCCTTAAGCCTAAAGCCTTGAAGCCTTTAGCCACCCCGGCACAGGCCCCACAAAGGCCGCGGAAGTTGAGAGTGTGGGGCTTACGGGATTTTGTTGTTTCTTTTTTTTTGTTAGGGGGGGGGGGGGGTTAAGGGCTGTAGGAGCTCAGGCGCTTGTAGGACAGTGGCTTCCCCTCCACAACCTAAATTCCAAACCCTAAGCCCCAAACCCCACACCCCAAACCCAAACCCTAAACCCTAAACCCTAAACAACGGGCAAAGCCGTGCTCCAGCCTGGCCATCTCATGTGCAACAAATCCACCTGTCCCAAGAAGCAGCGGGGGAGGTGGGGGGGGGGGGGTTTCAGGTAGTTTAAGGGTTAGGGTTTAGGGATTAGGGATTAGGGTTAGGTTTTAGGGTTTAGGGTTTAGGGTTTAGGGTTAGGGTAGGGTTTAGGGGTTTAGGGTTTAGGGTTTAGGGTTTAGGGTTTAGGGTTTAGGGTTTAGGGTTTAGGGTTTAGGGTTTAGGGTTTAGGGTTTAGGGTTTAGGGTTTAGGGTTTAGGGTTTAGGGTTTAGGGTTTAGGGTTTTCGGGTGCAGAGTCTGAGAACTTAGGGCATACGAGTGTAGGGGGGTTCGGGGTGGAGCTTTGGGTTTTGCAGGCTTGTGGACTGTTGGGGCTTGTTGGAGGGTGGCAGCAGGGGGGGGGTGGGGTGGGGGGCATGGATGTACCCTACAAACTCAACCCTAGAAGCTAGGGTTTGGGGGTTTAGGGTCTGGAGTTTATTGTGCGGGCGCAAGCATTCGCAACACCTGTACAGCCACAACCCTCGCAGCAGGATGAATTTAGAATTTAGGGCTAGGGTTTGGGTTTGGGGCTTCGGGGGTTTACGGCTTTGTTGGGGGGGGAGGGCTCGGGCCCTAAACCCTAAACCCTATAAGCCCTAAACCCTCAATCCTCAACCCTCAACCCTAAATCCTAACCCTAAACCCTGAACCGCAGTGGTCCTCCTGCTCCTCAGGCGACTCCTTCGCCTGTTGAGGAGCTTCTGGAAACTGCTTTCAGGGGTTAAGGGTTAAGGGTTTAGGGTTTAGGGCTGAGGGCTTAGGGCTTAGGGCTTGGGGCCTCGGGCTTAGGGCTGAGGGCTTAGGGCTTCGGGCTCAGGGCTTAGGGCTTGGGGCTTAGGTAGGGCTTAGGGCTTAGGATTGTTTAGGGGCATAGCAGCAACTGAGCACCTTTTGTTGGGAGGGCAGGGGTGGCAAACTTCATCGGAGCTCATAGTTTATTGGGTTTTTGAGCCACTATTCCCCACACTCTTCTGGCAGGTGTCCCTAAACCCTAAACCCTAAACCCTAAACCCTGAAACCCAAGGAGGGCTCTGGGGTTTGGGGAAGGAGGATCCTTTTTAGAAGCTCCGATACGGAGCCTTAGACTTAGTGCACCCTGAGCCAGGATTTAGGGTTTAGGATTGAGGGTTTGGGGTTTAGTTGTTTTTTTATGCTTGCCATGTGCTTCCAACTGAGGTGTCGAACAGGGGAAAACAGTCCGGCTCGCGCGTAGGCGGAGTAAGAGGAAGCCCATATAAACCCTAACCCTGAACCCTAAACCCAAAACCCTAAACCCTGAACCCTAAACCCAAAACCCTAAACCCTAAACCCTAAACCCAAAATCCTGCACCCTAAAGGGCATCCTGACCCTTCAAGACGGCCCTCAGCGCGAGGAAACAGCAGAGGCGTTCAACAACTCGGCTCCGAGTATCCTAAGCCTTTAAGCCCTAAACCTCTCAAAGACGTAACTTGTGGGTTCAGGGTTTAGGGTTTAGGGTTTAGGGTTTAGGGTTTAGGGTTTAGGGTTTAGGGTTTAGGGTTTAGGGTTTAGGGTTTAGGGTTTAGGATATAGGGTTGTTTACGAACCCCGGAGCCTCCAAAACCCTAGAATGCCAGGGCCTTGGAGCCCTAAGGAAGCCCTTGTACCCTAAACCCTAAACCCTAAACCCTAAACCCTAAACCACTTGCTTAAGAACCCACAGAACATGGAAAAACATACCTCATCCCTATACTGCCAGTAGAAAGACTGCTTGTTTTGTTGAGGGGAGCAACTCTTAGTTGCTGAGTTCATAAGCCCCCCAAAAAAAAGTGTTCACGTTCAGTTCGGTAGGGGCACAGAGTATCCCAAAAAGTGCACAGCGTACTCATGTAAACCCTAAAACCCTGAACCCTAAGCACTCAACCCTAAACCTCTAAACTCTAAACCCTAAACCCTAAACCCTGAACCCTCAACCCTAAACCCCAAACCCCAAACCCCAAACCCCAAACCCCAAACCCTAAACCCTAAACCCTAAACCCTAAACCCTAAACCCCAACCCCAACCCCTCAAGAGCCCGAAGCCCTCAGAACGCCGGAGCCCTTGAGCCCATCCTAAACTGCCGCATAGAGACGCCCCAAGCCCGAAACCCTCAACTGCCCTGAACCCTGAACTTACCAAACCCTAAACCCTAAACCCTAAACCCTGAACCCTGAACCCTAAACCCTAAACCCTAAACCCTAAACCCTAAACCCTAAACCCTAAACCCCTGACCGGCCTTCAGCTGCCGGCTCAGCTCTTCGAGGGCCTCGCGCGTGACGGATCCCAGGAGGATGCCTCGTCCCAAGCAAAGCAAGAAAGAACAGGGACTGGGGTTTAGGGTTTAGGGTTTAGGGTTTAGGGTTTAGGGTTTAGGGTTTAGGGTTTAGGGTTTAGGGTTTAGGGTTTAGGGTTTAGGGTTTAGGATTTCGGGTTTAGGGCTGTAGGGTTAAGGGTTGAGGTTTGAGGTCGGGGTACGGGCTGAGATTTGGGGATTCGGGTGAAGGCCTTCGGGCTTAGGGTTGTAGGGTTTTGGGTATCGGCCCGGAGCCAAGCCGCTGTGATGCGGGTGATGCTTCTTCAGGAATTCGTCCCTGACCACAATGGGGAAGTTGAACCTGGGCAGGTGTTGGGAGCCTAATACGGAGCCACCAGCTTCTGGGGATTTGGGGGCTTAGACCAAAACATTCGGGTGAACATTTTTGGAAGTTGGCGCCCGAAACCCTAAACCCGAAACCCTAAACCCTCAACCCGAAACCCCAAACCCCAAACCCCAAACCCTAAACACTAAACACTGAACCCTAAACAAACAACGCCCAAGCCCTTGAGCTTAATTGCTGAACAATCAGAACTCAACCCAGACGTTCACAAAACTCCCCCAAAAAACCTTAAAACCCCAGGGTTTAGGGTTTAGGGTTTAGGGTTTAGGGTTTAGGGTTTAGGGTTTAGGGTTTAGGGTTTAGCGTTTAGGGTTTAGGGCTTTGGGCTTAGGGCTTAGGGCTTGGGGTTTAATAAACCCCGAACCCTAAACCCCTAAAACACTAAACCTTAAAACCCTAAACCCTAAAACCCTAAACCCCAAAACCCTGAACCCCTAAACCCCTAAAACCCTAAACCCTAAAAGCCTAAACCCTAAAACCCTAGACCCTAAAACCCTAAACCCTAAAACCCTAAACCCTAAACCCGAAAACCTTAAACAACACAACTCGACCCTTGAAACCCTAAACCCTAAACCCTAAACTCTAAACCCTAAACCCTAAACCCTAAATGCGGACCGGGAGCTGCAGAGGAGTGTAGGCTAAGGCCTGCTGCACTGCGCGGCCTGAGGCGGTCCTACTTGGGGATGCCGGAGAGGGTTTAGGGTTTAGGGGTTTAGGGGTTTAGGGGTTTAGGGGTTTAGGGTTTAGGGTTTAGGGTTTAGGGTTTAGGGTTTAGGGTTTAGGGTTTAGGGTTTAGGGTTTAGGGTTTAGGGTTTAGGGTTTAGGGTTTAGGGTTTAGGGTTTAGGGTTTAGGGTTTAGGGTTTAGGGTTTAGGGTTTAGAGCTTGGGGTTTAGGGCTTAGGGCTTAGGGTTTAGGGTTTAGGGTCTAGGGTTTCGGGTTTAGGGTCTAGGATTTAGGGTTTAGGGTTCAGGGTTTATAGGGTTTAGAGCTGATTAGGGTTTACGGCTTATAGGGTTTAGTGTTTAGGTAGGTTTCGGACTTACAACATGGGGTTGCCTGAAGCGGTCTTAGGGGATGGGGAGCGTGTACGGAGTCATCTTCTGCCTAAGCCCTAGACCCTAAACAATTCAGCATCTAAGGCTTGGGGCCGAGGGTTTTAGTGACGAGTCACGGGCAGATGATGGCGGCATCCCTATTTCTGAACCACCCGCCTTTTCTGGCTGGCTACAGAGACATCGACCCTCCCGTATCAACTTCCTTGTCTTGGGTCTCTGGTGTTGAGGGTTGAGGGTGTAGGGTTTTGGACCCAAGGCTTTAGGAGTTTAGGAGTTTAGGGTTTAGGGTTTAGGACTTAGGGTTTAGGGTTTAGGGATCAGGAGATTAGAGTTGAGGGGGTTGTTGGTTGCATGGCCACAAGGTGGAATGTAAACCAACGCCGAGGCACAGCTGGACCTTTCTTCCAGCGCTGGAAACTCCGTAAACGCCTGGCGCCGCGCTCTTGATCGCTGCCTAAGCCTCGAACCCTACACCACAGACCCCGAACTCTTGAAACCCCTACTAGTCAAACTCTAAACCCTAAACCCTAAACCCTAAACCCTAACCCCTGAACCCCTGAACCCCTGAACCCCTGAACCCCTGAACCCCTGAACCCCTGAACCCCTGAACCCCTGAACCCCTGACCCCCTGAACCCTGACCAGCACAAAGCAAAGCCCCCCTGCACTCGCGAAGCTCATCCGAACCCTTCACCCCAGGCACGAGAACCCGCAAGCCGTAGCTCGACCCCCCCCCCAGAGAACAAGTTTAGGGTTTAGGGTTTAGGGTTTAGGGTTTAGGGTTTAGGGTTTAGGGTTTAGGGTTTAGGGTTTAGGGTTTAGGGTTTAGGGTTTAGGGAATAGGGAAAACGAACCTAGTTATCATGAGAGTTACATATACATATGAGCGGCTCTGACTGGGGATGTCTGTCTTCAACATCCGAATCACCAAGTCTCCAAACCCCAAACCCCAAACCCCAAGGGTTTAGGGTTTCGGCTTTAAGGTTTTGGGTTCAGGGTTTGGGCCCCAAACCCCAAATCCCAAACCCCTAAACCCTAAACCCTAAACCCTAAACCCTAAACCCCCAAACCCTAAAACCTACCAAGGGAACCTGCCTCCATCAACTCAAAGGCGGGCTCCTAGCATGGTGCGAGCCGAGGCTCCCCCGGGGTTTAGGGTTTAGGGTTTAGGGTTTAGGGTTTAGGGTTTAGGGTTTAGGGTTTAGGGTTTAGGGTTTAGGGTTTAGGGTTATGCAGTTATGGTTATAGGGCTTAATTGGGGGTTACTTGGGCCTTGTTTTGGGAGTATTTAGGGGAGTACAGGCTGCCGTAAGAGCGGGAAGACTCTACGTACTCTAAGTCTACTTACAACCTTCTTAACGGACTTGGGGGGGGCCTATGAGTACAGTTATAATTGTGGGTCATAAGTACCCTAAACCCTGAACCCTAAAACCTGAACCACATAATTGGGCTCTAAGTACCCTAAACCCTAAACCCTAAACCCTAAACCCTAAACCCTAAACCCTAAAACCTGCACCTC